CTACTATCCCCCATGATATTCCTTATTGTGGTGGACTGGATCATGCAGCAAACAGTAGGCAGCGAGAAGAGGGGGATACACTGGACGACGGAAAAGAACCTAGAAGACTTGGATTTCGCCGATGACTTATGCCTAATGTCACATAAACTTGAAGATCTGCAGGCAAAAACTAACAAGTTGATAGAAGAGGCAGCTAAGACGGGACTTCAGGTGAATATAGAGAAGACAGAAGTGATGAAGATACCGCACCACCACCATCAACAACAACAACAACAAACTCCAATCACCGTCAACGGGAGAAACTTGAAGGAAGTAACCTCCTTCACTTATCTAGGAAGCACTGTTTCAACTACAGGCGGGACGGACGAGGACGTCAAAGTCAGAATCGGAAAAGCAAGACAGGCGTTCATTAGCCTGAAACCAGTGTGGAGATCTTCTGCACTCAGCATGTGGAACAAGATACGGATTTTCAACACCAACGTCAAGTCAGTGCTCTTGTATGGCTCAGAGACTTGGCGCGTCACGAAAGGGATTTCCAATAAACTACAGACATTCATCAACAACTGCTTACGCTCGCTGCTGAAGATCAGATGGCCAGAAAAAATAAGCAACAAGGAACTCTGGGAACGAACCAACCAAGAACCTATCACGCAACAAATATGCAGGAAGAAGTGGAGATGGATTGGCCATGCACTGAGAAGGCCGACTGAGGACATCACGCGTCAGGCCCTCGAGTGGAATCCCCATGGGAAGCGACGAGTTGGACGTCCGAGGGTGACATGGAGGAGGTCGTGCGAGGAGGAAATGAGAGCTTCTGGGCTGTCGTGGAACCAGGTTCAAAAGATCTCAGAGAACAGAGGTCACTGGAGGCGTGCTACTGAAGCCCTATGTTCCACTAGGAACCCAAGGGACTAATAATAATAATAAAAGCCTCGAAGATTTGCTCATATGTTAAAAATGATGTGACAAATAGTTCACGTGCCAGTGAAAGTGCATCGAGCGAAGGATTGATGAAGCAGACTGAACATGCCTGATCCACCAGCCGCTTTTTACATTGTGTGTAACGAATTCAGCAGCAGAGGCAGACAAACCATGCACTAGCAACAACCCTGTGATCGCTAATTCAACGTATGCCAGTGTCCTGGTCCAAATAGTTGAAGAGATGGCTGTAGGTCAACAACCTCCTATCTAGTTCCCGGAGCGCCTCAGAAATTTGTGGGCTCAGACTCTGGACTGGAACATTTCGGGTGTGCCATATGCAACGTAAACTGAAAAAAGTAGGTGATTTTGCCGGTAGGCCATCTAGAGGCTGTCACCCACTAACCTTCCAGCATGCGAACTGCGGGTATGATATTTTGACCACTTTCCAAACGTCTCATCAAAATAGTGTATGCACTCTTGTTTTTCATGCTCCTTTAAGGCTCTTAGTGGAAATAACAGTGATGGAAACCCGGTGGGACTAAAATTATTCCGGTCTTGATTCATTTTGCTTACAAAGGCTTGGGTGACATTGGCACTCATGCTCATAATCAGATCAACCTTCACCGATTTGTACGTTTTACACTGCCTTCCACGTCCTTGCGGAGAGTTATAGTAGCCTGAGTCCTCCTTGTTTTTCACTGAGCGATAAGTTATGTAGGTAGTAAGAGGGACAGAACCAAGAACCTTCAATGAAATGTTTTCCTACATCCACTGAGTAACCCCAACGTGGGTCAATAACAATCGGTGGTGCAACCGTTCGAGAAAACGACTATGAACCCCAAACACCAACTCAAAATGCATAGGAATATCAGCGAGAGAGAATACCACTTCGGACTTTCCACGTAGGCACCTTGGTGCTGCCACTCCTAAACTGGCTTACTGGCCTTGCAGTCATTCATATGACCATATCCGGAGGTCTTCAATATAGGAGCAACTCCAACACCTAAGAAAGGCTCGGAGTTTGATTGGAAGCAGCCTAAACCCGAAGTCAGCATTTAGGGTCATTGGCTACGAGGTCGGATGTTTTCGATTCCAACCATGGTTTCGCTCTACTGTGTGGGTGGAGGGACCTTGCTGAAAGATTTTGTCTTTCAGCTGACCAATGAAAGTAGGCAATCAACTTTTGACCAAGTGACTTCACTTTCCGCGGGAAAACTGAATATCAGCCGTGTTTTCTGTCAGATGAAGTTGTCTTCCTAACTATCACAATCTGGTCTCTGTCCTCTGATTTCCGCGGCTGAAACCTATTCACATTATGCCATGACGAAAAGTTGGGCCTGCAGGGTTATCCATCACGAAAGTCATGAGAACAACTTAACCCCACATGCAGCATGGCGATCGTAACAGGGGGACGTCATCATGATAGCACATCAAAGAGCCAACGCCGTGCTCGGAGCAAACGTTTTCTTCCTTGCAGTGTTTGCAATATAGAATGATTTTCCGCGAATGTGGCCACAGTTCCATCAGCAGACCCATTTAAAAGAGTGCTAGACAGTTGCATTAGCCCACGTAGCCTTCCGGTCACGCACTGAGGATACCACTCACCTCTCTAGCCCGCTCCGTTTCTCCTCTAAAATGCCAACCACCACCCTGTTTTTTGACAAAGACCTCTTCAGAGGCTAAACTCATCCTATCAGAATTTATTCTCCAGGAACCTCATGAATACCTTGGTATCCTTATTCAGGCATGTTTGCAGACAGCAGTCACGAAAGACTCCTAACCTGCAGCTTCCTATCCAACTCATCCAACAAGTTACCAATACGAACATCCATTTCACCAGAATCAAATGCAGAAAAGATGAAGAGACTCCTCTCTTGACTACAAGGGTAAATCAAACGACAATAGCCAAGCATCAAGCACTAGACGTGAGAGATCGAAATCTATCTGTTTCTTATCCTCGCGCTGTTGATGTTTGATGCTGACTGTCGAACCCTCTCACAGTAACGCTTAGGGGAGACAAAGTTTGATTAAGTATGATGTGTAAAACTTCCTTGCATTAGTCAGTGACATTGGAAATTGAAGGTTGTGCTTGAGACATTGGTAACACTTTTGAAAATGTACTTTCTTTTTCTGACTTATCGGTTTCATGAATCATTATCGTTTGTCGATTGTCTTTTGTAATAAAATGTAAGAACGTTCTTTGTGGCTTCATAGTTGTTGACTCAAATTTCCTCAACCTATTTTCTCGCCTTGAATACTACCAGATATCCCACACTCTGAGAGAATGGCTCTAAGAATCTTTTGGGGTGAATGTCGGGACTCCTACCTTAGAGGAAGAAACCTAATAATACAAAAAATACCGGAAAACCCAGATACCGAGGATATTCATTACGATTCTCGTGAGTGGAAGTTCCTCAAGTATACCATAAACCTCAAGGGAGTAATCCAATATCCAATATTGATAGTGCGAGCGTAGAAAACTGGTAGTTTTTGATCTCTCGCGTCTAGTTCTTAGGCTTGGTTCGAGTTGTTCGGTTCACTCCTGCAGTGGACGAGGAAATCCCCTCTGCTTTCTTGCTTTTAGCTTCGGTGAGGTGGATGTTTTATGGGTTAGTAGGTTGTAATTTGTAGAGTGATTAGGGAGCTAAGGGTTGCTGGGAAGTTTACAGAACTGCCGTGACTCCTGTCTGTGTAGGTACTCATTTCTGAAATCATTGAAGTAAGTTATTATTTGTCAACAGAGCTATGAGCATAAGCATTGCTGTTAAAATAGACGCTTATTTCAAGAAACACTGGGTTTTGCAAAGGGGTCAATCATGTCGACTATTCGTAACACAAACACCGAATACCTCAAAGCGCTTCACGGATGCCGGAAAAAGACGATGATCTTAAACCAAGGCTGGTCAGAGTGGTTTTTCCGGCCTCTTAAATGACAGCGTCCATACTGGGAGCATTCTGGACGAACAGAAATCGCCTCTCATCTGGAGTCCTCATGCAGCCTGGTAGTCGCAGAACGGAAGGCTGAAACGAAAATAGAAAAACCTGAAGCTAGTTGTACCTCTGGAATACTGCTTAGATGCAAAAACCGGGGAAGGGGTGGGGAACACTGCATTGGTAGGCAGCACTCAGGCACATTCCCACTCCCCACGTCTGAGGATTCGGCCAGCCAACTGGAGAATCAAGAGGGTTCAGGCAGTGCATTCCAAGTAGATAGCATGAATGACGTCTATACAAATCTACGTTGTCTACCGAATAAACTAGAACTGCGGGAACTACGTAAGGACACTTATGCTCATCTTATTGGTGCTACTGAGGC